GCACTACGGGTTACATATTCACAATTGGAGGCACGGCGATCAGTTGGATGTCTAGACTTCAAAAGAGTGTGGCTCTTTCGACCACAGAAGCAGAGTATATGGCCATTGCTGAAGCGGCCAAAGAGTTGATCTGGTTGAAGAACTTTCTTTCGGAGTTGGGCATGGAACAGGGGGATTGCGGACTGCACTGTGACAACCAGAGTGCTATTCACCTCGCGAAGAATCCAGTGTTTCACAGCAGAACGAAGCACATCAAGATGCGATACCATTTTATCTGAGAGTTGATTGAAGACGGTATCATAAACTTGAAGAAGATCCTTGGCACGAAGAATCCAGCAGACATGCTTACCAAGGTGGTGACAACGGAGAAGTTGAAGCTATGCATGGATTCAACTGGCCTTCCAGATACTTGATGGGAAGGTGTGAACGAGAGATAGAGATCAGGGGTGTTGCAGAGGATACATGTTCTTGGATGGCAGATGACTGTTGAACAAGCCTCCAAGTGGGAGATTGTTGAAGATGGAGCCTTGTTTGGAATGCAGGAGTATATACCCGATCGGGTATGTTGGGTTACCCGATCGGGTATGAGGTGTTTGATGGGTCGAGTATTTCCCTGGTTTCTACACTCGATCGAGTATTGATCATTACTCGGTCGAGTATGCGTGTAAGGGTTACTCGGGTTATATTCTGGAGTTTATACTCGATCGAGTATGGAGGTATACTCGGTCGAGTATGTGTAAAAACACTACTCGGGCAGAATTCTGGAATCTATACTCGGTCGAGTATGTATGTATACTCGATCGAGTATACGGGAAAAATTAATGACGGGATTAATTTTTGGGTCTGCGGCCTTAACCCTTATTTAGGTTTTCTTAAACCTATTTAAACATCCCTAATGTATCTGTAAACACACCAGACGCTGGAATAATAATACATCTCTCTCTCGTTCGCCGTGGACTAGCGTAATCACACCGATTGCGTGAACCACGTAAATTCTTGTCTTCTTGCTTTAAATTTATCGTTTATCTTAGCCTAATCGTGACAATTAACAAACGCCATTTTTTATTGTTTGGCAAATGACTTTTTAATTTGGCGTATTGGTCCGTAAATTTTGATAGCTAGCGTCTTAGCGTTTCATCTATTCATTCGATTTTGGAGCACTTCTATTATGAAGAATAATTTACTTTTTCTTGATGCGTAAATTTAATGTGTGACACTTTTGAATGTTATACTATCGTATTATATATTTATATATTAAAAGAAAATAAACTTTTATTTTTTAAATCAAGAAGTATGTAAAGACCGATATCGTAATGAAAAATTGTCCCCCTTAGTTATAAGCTAAGTTCTAGATGACTAGATCTATCACTGTTTGTGTTTATACAACATTTTATGCTTTTAACACCTCTTACCTCCAAGTCGCACACATTTTTTATAGAGAAAATTGCCTTCAATATTATTAAAAGACTTGTGTGTTCGGATTATATGGCTACATATATTTTTTCTAAAATGATCCATGTTATCATGTCTTGCTCTTATCAATAATAATCATTAATGGATCATGTCTTTTGAAACCACTCATGTGTCTCATATCTTCAATGATAGTTCTACTCATAGGGTACATATACACTTAAACATATAGGTAATCATATATTACGAAAATACATTTGTTTTATTAATATTTAGGTATTTTCCCTGAAATTAGTGCCAATGTGAAAGATAATTGATTAAATGAGCTATAGTTGGAATGTGAATGGCTAGTTATACTACTTATATCTAGCCTTAACTCAATTATCAGCAGCTTCATAACAAATAAAAAGTGAAGTTATAAAGTTTATTATGCGAGTGACATTTTCGTATCGAGTTTTTAGAATTCGATCTGGACCAAAAGTTATACTTCGTATGATTTAGATTAGTGTAGAGATAAAATATGTCCGCCAGAAGAGCACACTAAATAACGTAGTTAAGCCTATATTATTTTCATTTTAATGAATTTGTACATGCATTGATCGATATGATCACATTCCATATTTGTCTCTCTCTACCAGCAATTGTAAAAAGGAGAGGAAGAGGATGAGATATTGATTAAGGAGTACAACAAAATTGAAGAAAAGTAGATCAGATTGATGACCGGAGATTTAGGAAAAGATCTAAAGAAAATATAGGAGAAAAAGAAGAATGAAAAGGAAAAACTGATCAATCGATCAGAAGAAAAATATTAGAATTAAGTGAAATCAATGACCTCTTGTCTATTTCAATGAGACTATGAGAGGTATTGAGGCTAAATTGAAAAATAAAAAAAAAATTGTGTTTGAGTACGTGGTATTTGGTAAAACAATTAATATTGAGGCTACGCATGACATTGTGAAAGGTTTATCTCAATTGAAACACTGACGAGATTGAATGGTTCCTTAGCAAGTGATTGATTAGAGATAATACGTTGTTTATATAAAGATCAAGCTGTTAGGAGGAGTAGTTCAAGGTTTTATATGTTGGTTTGTATTTATATACGCAACCGGTGTGTAACAGCTTAATACGCCCCCACAAGATGGTGGCTCGTTGGAGCAAACCAATCTTGTAGTCCGTGTGCTCGTTGTTGAGGCTTACCAGGATTCAATTATTCGTAGGAGCTTAATTTGCTCTGATACCATATAAACACTTGGGATTCCACCCTAATTAAGGGTCAATCTGTTAGGAGGAGTAGCACAAGACTTTATATGTTGGTTTGTATTTCTATACGCAACTGGTGTGGGACAACTTCATAGTTTATACTCCCTTCGTCCCTTTAAGGTTTGCCAAGTTTGATCGACACGTAGAATAATAAAATAAAAATTGTGTAATCGAGATTTGTGCAGAGGAGATAGAAATAACATGAGCCACAGGTTGATTGATTAAAAGAAAAAGTGACAAAGTTAATTTTAGGATAATCAAAAAAGTAAGGGCCTGTTTACTAACAGAGATATTTTCCAGTTTTCCAGAAAACTGGAAAACTGGAAAACAGAAAACAGGAAACGTGTTTACCAAAGAAATTGCTCGAAAACTGGAGAAAGGAAAAAAGAAAAACGCGTTTACCAAACCGTTTTTCAAAACGGAAAAAATGAGACATGTCTCTCTTTTCCTTGATGATTTGGAGAAGTGACTTTTACTAGTTTTCTAAATTTGGAAAACGCAAACGTTACAGTGCCGCTGCAATGAATTTGCATACTTACACCTAGTGGTGGGTCCGGTCCCGCTCCGATGTTGATTCCATTCCGGTACCTCCATCCCCGTACCTTACCCCTTACCCCTACCCTACCCATACCCTACCCACCCAAACCCACCCCGCGTACCCATTTTTCCCTATAATGACCCTACCCCACCCCCTACCACATGCCCCTACCTCGGCCCCACCCCGATCCACCCTACCCTACCCCATATCACCTCGACCCCACCCCGACCCACCCTACCCTACCCGCCACCCCCTACCACCTCGGCCCCACCCCGATCCACCCTACCCTACTGCCACCCCTACCACTTCGACCCCACCATGACCCACCCTACCCTACCGCCACCCTCTACCACCTCGGCCCCACCCTACCGCCACTCCCTACCACCTCGACCCCACCCTGACCCACCCTACCCCCAGCCGTATATTACCCCTTACCCCTTACCACATGCCCCCTACCTCGGCCCCACCCCACCGCCATCCTACCCCCACCCTACCCTTTCCCTACCTCGGCCCCACCCGGATCCCGGGCCCACCCTACCACCATCCTATCCCAACTCCCTACCCTACCCCTACCTTACCCCAACCCCACTACCCCCACTCTTACCGCCATCCTACCCCCCCACCCTACCCCTTCCTTACCTCGGCCCCACCCTGGTCCCGGCCCCACCCTACCGCCATCCTATCCCAACTCCCTACCCCTACCTTACCCTACCAACTGCCTCACCCTTGCCCCTAACCATGACCCTAACCCACCCACTACCCCCACCCAACCCCTACCCCTAGACCCTACCACCCCACCCTGACCATACCCCTTACCCCACCCCCACCCATAACTTCTCAACCCCTACGAGTAGGTATGGGTGGGTATGGAGGGTTGTGGGGGAGTATGGGTAGAGTGTAAGATCAAGATAAGGGTAGGGGTAGGGGTCAAGGGTGTGGAATTGGAGAACTAGGTGAAAAAATTGATGAACATGTTTTCAGATTTGAAAATGGAAAACTAAAAAATAGAAACAGAAAATTGGAGATAGAAAAACTGGAAAATAAAAACAGAAAATTGGAGAATGAAAAACAGAAGTAGAAAACAGGAAAATATCTCTGTTAGTAAACAGGCCCTAAAGTTGGCAAGGTTATAAGGGACGGGGGAGCAATAGTTATAAATATTGGAAACCTTGGAGCCAATGTCACATCCATATGACTGAATTACCCGTAGTTTTGAGGGACTGAGATTGCCTTGTGAAGTTTTGTCAAGTCAAGACACATAACACCACCAAAATTACAAAAACATGGGAAGAAGTGAGGATACAATTGAAAATATAGAAAGGACTAAACTTTTAATGGACAACTTTTATTAATTAAGATGTCGGTTATGATTTTATTTGTTCACAAATACCAATATTGTACAAAATGAGTGGGTAACAATCCCAAAAAGGCTATTCTCTTTATTCCATTTTAAATAACTGTGTGCAATACAAGATGATTAACTTATGATAAAGTTAATTCTTTTTTTTTTTTACTAAACACAAATATATATTGGTGTGAATAAAAACATCTTGTTTCTTACAAAAAAATGTGTGAACAATCAAAGTCTACACATTTATTAAATACTCTAGAAGTTCTACTGAATCATACACCATAATTCAAAAATATTTTTTAAATTTCTTATATATAATTAGAGATTAAAATAAACTTAAATTGATTGCATGTGTATGACGACACACACACATATGAGCATTAAGGTGTTGCAAAGAGATAATATTACTGATGTTATGTGGTATTCGATTGCTCTGTTTAGGGAATTGGTACAGCCGGATATTGTAGATACAGGCAAGCAATCGGGCTAGGCCGTAATGGACATTTAGATGTTGACACAAATCTTGGCTTACGAAAGAGTTTTCTCCCTCGGGTAATAAATACACACACAAATGCAAATGCGTGCATGCGCACACACACATGTGCGTGTGTGTGTAGAGTTGTAGACTAATTAACGCATTGGAAAATTGGAATGTCAAATACAGGGGAGAAGAAGATATATTCCACTCATGCAGCCTACAGCTCAACAAGTATTTATAAAAACTATTTCTGCTGGCCCCACAACTATATTTCTCACTGGATCTCATACAAACATGGCAATATTTCTTATGGCAAACCCCCAATTGAAACAAAATGTCACACACATATATTCATCGGGTGGCAGTGTTGACGCAGGTGGTAATTTGTTCACTAGTTTCAATAGTAATCTGTTTGCCGAGTTCAACATCTTCATGGATCCTTTTGCTTCATACCAGGTGATCAATCGAGTGATAGCATTTTCTTGGATAGTTTAAGATATTTAACATTTTTTTCCTTTTCTCCACTAGGTAATAAATCTAGATTATCTGCATTGTTTGTTATACGCATGGGAGCAATTATACAATTTGTTCTTTTATGCATTTATATATATATATATATATATATTGCAGGTCCTTCATTCTGGAATTCCAATCACTCTTGTGCCATTGGATGCCACAAACACTGTTCCAATATCAGCTGAGTTTTTTTCCCACATGGAGAATAATCAACACACATATGAGTCACAATACTTTTTCAAGACCTACAAATTAATTAGTGATAGTTTTTTTGCCGGCATCGATGTATTCTACAAAGTAAGTTCAATCCTTTTATCTGAAATGTGAATATGAATTGCATGTCTATGATCATATCTTATATTTCAATTTACTATTGTATATACAACCTATTTTAGATAAATACTTATATATGTCTCTCGTTGTTTTGCCAAATTAACCAACTTGAGTAATATGGAAATGAGCTAATAAAATCAACACAAAAGATGCTACTCGGAAACATGATTGCGAACAAACAAACAGTACTAAAACCAAATTGGATTTTCATCCAATATTAATACTTGTACACACACACACCACACACACACACACACACGCACGCGCACACGCACACGCACATGTACACACACATGCAAACATACATACTTTAGTGTGTGGTTATGTGTGTATAGAAGGGATTGATGTTATGTACCATCTAATTCTTTTATGTATTAATGCAGGATTACTGCATGTGGGACTTCTTTATGTGTGGTGTGGCAACTTCAATTATGAGTAAACTAGATAACCATGAAGGTGACAACGAGTTCGCGGAAATGAAGTACATAAATATTACTGTAGTAACAACTTCAGATGAAAACCGTAGTGTATCAGATGGCTCTAATCCATTCTTCGACGGTCGCAATACCCCAAAGTTCAATCTTGACCCCAAGTACCACAAAGGACATGTCCAAATTGGTGCTCGTGATTTTCACTGTCTTTTCAACAATAGCACTGAAAAATGCAAAGTATTAATCATTACAAATCTTATATATTTGAGCATCAAACTCACGTACTATTTCCGGCCAACTATATATTGCTAAAATAATGTTTTAAGACACTTCATTACGCCTTGTTGATCAGGATGGGTATACTCCACAAGTCACAGGGAGTTCTAACGGTGTGTCTGTTCTTGTTGCAATAAAAGCAAAACTCAACCCCAATGTTAGCAGTCCATTAGACAAAGCATTTTATGCAAACTTTATAGATGTAAGTTTGTTTTTTGGACATACATATATAAGTATATATTTTGATACCTTGCAATCTCATCATATTAAAATAGTTTTTATCCGTGAAAATATTAAACATTCGATACCTATGGTGCAGGTATTAAACCTACCTAAACAAACTGGTAGGTTTAATTCTACAACGGAATTTCCTTGCTATCATGAAACACTTTACATGCCAGATCTTTCCGGAATTCGACTTGGGAAAAATGTTGTGTTTGATATGGACATGAGCGCTGGAGACTTCTTAGCCCTCTTTTATCTTCTTAAACTTCCCATCAAGGATATCAATCTAAAGGTAGAAATGACTTTAAAATAATTATTCATCTTATTTCCTTCGTGATAATAATATAGACGATAATGATAATTAATTTTACTAAACAACTTTGGAGCCTTATCCCCATGCATCATTAATCCCGATAATTAAGCTTAAGTTTTTTAAGACTTAACTCTTGACAAACCTCTTTTATTATCCATTCATGACCACAACTTATGTATTAGAGAAAATCTAGACTTATCTTAGAGAAGCTCACAAAACATCAAATAACATAATCTTAGAGAACCTCCACTCCAGATGTTAGTTTGTCTTTAAATATAAGTTATTTAAGAGCAAAATCTCTAAATAAGAGTAAAACATAACACATTTCCTCAAATAGAAGTGTTAGTGTTTTCTACCAGAAATACGAGACGTTCATTCCTTTTTGGGAAGTTTTTGTTGTTTTATTATTTTAATAGAAATAAATAAATCTATTTTCGGGAACAAAACATAATTAGTCCTACTTTGAACATAGTCCTACTTGAGGAAATGCATTTAACAAGCCTGTGACTTTACATATCTAATTGAATAAATAGAAATTTCATGCTCACACTTCCCAAAGTATGCTACATACTTGGTAATAAACTAGCAAATATTAACCTTTGTTGTTCACATTATGTATATTATAGGCAATTCTAGTGAGCCCAAACGGTTGGGCGAATGCAGCAACACTTGATGTGGTTTATGATTTGTTGCATATGATGGGTCGTGATGACATTCTTGTGGGCATTGGGGATCTACTTCCACTGAACATGTCCTATTCAGATTTCCCTGGTGTTGGTGGAGACCGTAAGTATCAAAAGGGCATCCCACATGGTTACGGAGGATTTCTTGATTCAGACACTCTTTATGGAACAGCTCGCGATCTCCCACGCAGTCCTCGAGGGCAAGTTTGTGAAGCCTATTTTTTTGACCGTTAAGTATTAAGAGATATTTATGTTTAAGTGAACAAAACATTCATATAGTCCGAAAATATGACCAACAATTAAACTTAAACATGCCTCTCTGTTATGAGTAATAATTTAATTAAAGCGAGAAAAAGTAGTACCAAAATACATATTGTACATGCAAAAAATCATTAATTTAAAAATAAAAATGGTTTAGTCATATTTTAAAAATTACCGAATTTTAGGCCATATTCCTAGTAATTTTATCAAGTATCAATCTTATTAAATAGGAAGGAAGACACTCTGTTTTGATGTAACCCTAGCTAGCTAGTAAGTTCAAACACTCCTCATTAACTTACAGATATACAACAGACGACTCCAAGGAGTTTGGAGGTCCCTGTGACACTGATCACCCTGAACTTCGACAACCACTCGCTTTAGAAGTATGGGATTCAGTAGTGCATTCCCTAGATTTGGGGTCCAAGTTGACTGTCTTGACGAATGGTCCACTCACTAGTATAGCAAATATTATTCTCAAAAATCCAAATGTTTCCTCTCTAATCGAGGCAAGTGGTTATTCCTTTTGACAAAACAATACCACCTCCGTTCGTAAATAAGTGCATCATGTTGAATTTTATATTATTGTTAAATTTGTATTATAGTAAATTTTCAACAATTGTTTTTTTAATTTTATTAATAGAGAATGAAATATACTATTGGTCAAATTTTTGCATTGGCAAACGTGAAAAAAAACAAGTGTTGCACATAAAAGAGAACGGAAGTAGTATACCTGTATTGTGGCCTTTTTTTTTTAAATCATCAACATATGTGATCTGCATTAAGACTTCATATATATAGAGTTGGTATCTCTATAATTTGCCAGTTTGGTGTGACTTTATATATGAGTTAGAATCTTTATACTTTATTAGTATAAAACAATTTTGCATGTTCTTAGTGTTTTGTTTTGTTCAATTGCACAGGAAGTAATGATTGTTGGAGGGCATATCAGCAACAATAGCATTGACCAAGGAAATGTGATTAATCTGCCAAGTAATAGATTTGCAGAACAAAACATGTATTTTGACCCTTTGGCTGCAAAAATTGTGTTTGATTCAAAACTCAATATCACTCTCATTCCACTTGCCGCACAACGTCAATTAAGTTCATGGGAGGAAATGGGACGGGCTATTGCTCCTCAAGAAACACCTGAAGCACAATTCACTAGAAATCTATTGTCAAGACTCCTCCACTCCAAGTTAATTAATCAACACATGGTAAATATATCCTTCTTACCAAAATATAATTAAAATTAGTTTTAACTCCATGTTTACAATAACGTGGTGGAAAGGTCCGAATTCTAAAACATATCGGTGACCCGAGTAACCGATCTAAAAAATCTGTTCCAGTTCAATTCCTCCGAAACATGAATAGTTCAATTCTGTATGGGAGTACGAAAACGGACATCGGTAACCGGTCTCAAATATATGTTTTGGATCATCAAGAATAGGCTGCTTTTAGCAACTTTAATGGGTCATCTGGAACAGGACCCACCAAAATTTGGGGCCCCAACTTTTTTAACATTAGTATTAGCATATATTTATATTATATAATATTAATATGTAGTTATTTCAAATCATGTTTAAATTTTTTCTATATGAATAGTTGAACCACTTGAACACAATTAAATTTTTTTGAAGTATGTGAGTTGTTATTATATGTGATTTTATTTTTATTCATATATGGGGTCTCAATTTTGCATTTAGAACCGGAACCTCCAAATTCATTAGATGTGCCTACTCAAAAATCTGTTTTGAAACCTGACTGGATCAAGTTTTCTTGGTAGTCGGAATTAGAAGTAAAAACGTTTTGAAATTCCGAAATAGAAGTACTATGTTTTTCATTTCCTATATAAGAGTCATTACTACAAATCTTGGAAAATACTATCATTTTAAAGTTTGTTATAAAGTTTTGGGTATCCTGTTTTGAAGTTCAAAGACACTTTTGCTCATCGATTCATGTCATGTGATTAAGAGATATTGTTGGTCAGACGTTTATACTCCTATTTAGATCAGAACAATTTCTTGTTTTTTTGCAACTTTTTAATGACCAAAAAACCAGAGGTTGGTCAAAAACCAAAAACATTATATTTGGTAAACATTCCGGCTCCCCTTTTACGTGATCCATAGCCAGTCCGTCCAAAACAAGATCAGGTTCATCGTAATTTTCGAGATGTGCATATATTATCTAAAATTAAGACAATATGCATACACACACATACACACACAATATTCATATTTGTAAATATGTACATATACACACCTTATATAGAAGTTAGATGAAATGAGAGTACGATCTAATGAGACAAATTAAGAATGAATAATGTGTGATTTGAATATTGTGTATTCCCCGATAAACAATAAACAATGTGCACTGCAGACTGCTACGAAGTACGAAGAAGATAACACAGTCACATTTTTGGTAAAAATATTGAACATTTTATGCAATGCGAACAATGCACTATCTCTACGAGAAATGCGCTCACCCATAAACCAGAATAAGCACCACTTTTCACTATTCTCAATTTTGACGGGAAGAATTGTTTTCACTAAAATTGCCCTATTTATGTGTTATACAAAGTAGTTTTCATCTCTTCTTTTTTCGGCTTTCAAATAAATTACTCCGTATTCATTTTCTATTGGTCACCCGAATACTAGCAAATTTATTTAAAAACACTTTTGATTTCTATCAAGCAGGAAACATTTATTGGAGAGATAGTAGGCTCAGTGCTTATTGCAGGTGACATCTCCACCTTGAAACCAACATTTGCCATTAAGAAAATCAAAGTAATCGCAGAAGGTGAAGAATCAGAAGACGGCAAAATGATTATTGATGAACAACAGGGGAAAGAAGTGAAAGTTTTGACAAATATGAATGCATCGGCATATTATGATCTCTACGCACAAATGCTAGGTGCAACAAAACAGTCAGCTGTAGTTGGAAGCTATGTTAACCAGACAATAAGGTGGAATTGCAAGAATGAGTAGAAGTCAAAGTATGTCATATTGTTGTAAAAAATGCTCAAAATGGGAGTAAATGAGCAAAGCTTTTTTGTGGTATTACATGAGCAAAGTTGAGAAACACCACTAAGTAGGCATATATTTTATTCTTGAATAAGAATTACTTAGTCCTATTAAAAGATCAAAATTACAAAAACTTCACAAAATAAGAGTGAATGAATCACTGGTGGAGGCACCGCGATATATTCGGGCAGGCCGGTACAAAGAACTTTTTTAGTTTTTTTGCATGATTTTTTACTTAATAATTTAAACAAAATTGAAAGTTGGGGTGGATTGGGGCCTCGGTCCCCCAGCTATGCCCGGGGAATGAATCTTAATGTTAGGAAGAGAATAATATAATGGTACTTTTATTTGAAATAATATACTCTTTCCGTATTGTTTTTTTAGAAAAACACGGCTTATATTGATAAAGAAACATTCAGCAGAGGACAAAAGAGATAAAGAGAACACTTCCAGCCACCGACACTCGAACCAGCCTAAGAACCAATCACCCTAGACAGAGCAATATGATTCGCTAATCCTATAATGGGTCTAAATGAGCCTAGCGTGACCAAAGCAAAACCCCCATCACCCTGCCTAATGTAAGAGTCTGACAAAACAAAACATTAGTAACAGAAACAAATAAGTGCCTGGAAAAAAATAGACAAACAACAGTAAAACTGTGGAACTTGAAATAAAAACTAAGAAGCCCGAACGAGCTCCGATGTCCTCCTTTAGCAGAGAAAATCTTCAAACATTGTGACGGGTTGAGATGCACAAACCCGCCCCCTCCCTGTTTTTTGGATCATCTAGGGCCATCTGCTCCCTTTCACCCCCTTGCCACTTGACGCTTCCCAAGTCCTCCTGCGTTTAGCTTCACCAGAAGCTACCTCCTCCGAAGCTTAACTATCAGATTCCACACGGCCCTTGCCGCCCTCGGTCAAAGAAGGTGCCCCATCTCTTCTGCTCGGACCCTCTTTCCCATCTCCTGTCCTTCCCTGTTATTATGGGACTAGCCATTTATTTCCCTCAAAAGCCCGAGAACTCCCCTTTCCTCCTGCACACACACCAACTCCATATGTCTTAGTAACCTCCATATTTTTGTTCTCATAAACCAAAGGGCAATACCTGTCAGCATGCCCAATAATCCCACAAACAAAGCAAAAACTAGGCAGTTTTTCGTATTTAAACTCAACCTAGTGCCCTTCTCTCTGTCCCTTTATGAGAGTCGTGCCCACCTTCAGTGGCTTCCCCACATCCAGACAAACTCTAATTCTCATGTAAGGCTTCCACTTTTTATCAAATTGGCTCTTATCAAAATTAATAAATTTATACATAAAATTCCCAATCCTTCTGGCAGCCCCCAAATTCATATAATCATATGGAACATCATGTACCTGAACCCAGAACTCAGTTTCATTCAAAGGAACGCGAAGGGGAACATCCTCTGGCTTAAGCTCCCAAAGAGTTAGCAGGTTTTGTTCAAATATCCACGGACCGCCTTCCATCACACGTTTCATATCAAGAATATGGTACAAAGTGAACATGTACCTTTTATCGTTGATCTCTTGTATGGAAATAACTTTCACAGGCCTCCAGAGTTTAGCCATGAGATCTCTAAAAATCGAGAACTTCACCAACCTGTCTGTAATCACAGTGCCAACCACTAGGAATGCTTCTTCGTCAGCCGCGGCTTCATCGTCCGGAGCAGTCTCTTCGTCGAAAACAATCTCTTCCTCTCTATCCCCTATAGCCACGTCCTTGTACTTGTCTGCAATATCCTCCGTCCCTCCTGCCTCCAAAAAACCTACGCGAACAACAAACAATGAAGCAGAAACAATCGACGCGAGGGCCTAGACCTTCGGTCGAAAACTTCAAAACCAAAAACCCCTGGACAGTCGATTACAAAAGCTAAAGCCGAAGCACCAGTGCCGAGTACGAAACTCGGAAGAAACAATAAGAAGACGCCGTCGCCTACGACGGCCCTCTACCCAACCCTAGAACCCTAGGGAGTCGCCAGTCGTTCCGTAACTTAAATCATTCTTGGAAGCCTCAATTTCATGGGGCATTTTCCAAAAAAAAACTCCTCTTTTCGTATTTAAAAGTTCACTACAATAGGTTTGGGCACACTATCTAAGGATGAAATAGTAGATGTAATGAATAGTATAGTAAACGTAGGATAGTTGGTGGAAAAGTATGATAGAAAAGATCAAAGAATAGAAAAAGTAAAGTTAATTGAGTATTTTTAAGGGAAAACTTACCAAAAAGTAAAATATATATAGCAAACTTTAAAATACATACTGTTGGTCCCGTTTAAAATGGTAACCAGTCTAGAGGGGGGGGGGGGGGGTGAATAGACTGGTTGGTTTTTCAAATTTTCTCTAAGTCAAAAGTGACTTATCAGAGAAGGTCTGATTCTGATGACAGAGATAGGCTGGTTCTGATATTAGAACTGGCCTTGGCAGCGGATTCTGATCTGTCCGGGTAGCCTCAGAAACACTAAGGCAAATGCCTTTCTGATAACTCTTAAAACAAGATCTGTTGAACACAGATTCCAAGTCTTAGAGTTAATCAGTTAATATCCTAAGTGCAGAAACGTAAATTGCAGTAAAGTAAATGACACCGGATATTTTATAGTGGTTCAAGGAACAACTTGTTCCTCTAGTCCACTGTTCCACTAGCTTTGAAGTAGATCAGTTACAAAGCTAATTCCTAGCACTTAAGAAGCACTCCTCGTCTTCTTCAAGCCTAGATGCCACCCAGGATGCAATTCCACGTCCTGATGGCTGGTCCTTTCACTCAGTTTCCCGGAAGTATCACCACTTCACTACTGCAGTTACTTGGACGCCCTTCTTTTCAGAAGATCCTTTGAAAAACAGAGTTTTTCCTCCAACTTGCTTCGTCACAAATGATGTTTGATGAAGATCTTGAAGAGTTGAAGAGCAGGATGAACTTTGCTCTTGTTGGGGATGAGAGATTGTGAGATTGAATCTTCCCAACGTAAGCTTTTTCTTGTTTTTGTGTTGTGGAGTTTGAATCTCAAGAGAGCTTGAAAGTTTTATGAGCACAAGTTGTAGCAAAGTTGTATCCCTGTTCTTCGGTGAGTAGCTTATATACTGGGGTTGTCTGCCCGTTGGAGGAGGAGACAACTGCATTAAATGCGCGTACAGTTGACTTGACCGCCGTTTTGGAAGGTTTCTATTTTTATAATATATCTTCCCGGATTCCTTGGTCAATCATTTGCAATCAATCCTTCAGCGTATCAGGCTCATTTAATGTGCATTAAATGCTTTCCTTCCATGCACAGTCTTCTAGCCGTTGGATGATTTTACCCGTTGAACTCATAGCTGTTGGATGTTGCTTGAAATCTTCTAAGTGTTAGTCGAGTTCTGATCAGGCTCTTCTGATGTGTTGGATTCTGATTGCCTTCTGATGAGTTGAGTTCTGATGGCTTTCTGATCCCGGATAGAGCTCTAACTCTGACTCTGATATGTCCGCTAATGAGTACCTTTGATTTGTAGTTCTCATCGGTTATCAGATGTCCAAGTTTCTCAGCAACTTTCATGGTGCAACTCTGATGAACTTCTGCTAAGAGAACTCTGATGGAGCAGTTCTCATAGAGCAACTCTGATGACTACACTAATACTTACAATTAAAAATTCTAATATATAAAATCTAATTGGGGGTACTCTAATCTTCTAATCCTATAGCATCATCAAAATCTAATTACATTTATTCCTTACAATTTCCCCCTTTTTGATGATGCCAAAACCCTTAAACTATCTCCAGAGAAGTGCCTTTCACCATAAAGAAAATAAGAAAAGAAAAACTTTCATTTAAAATCTTGGTGGGCACTTGGCATAGGAGAATAGTAAGAGTAAGATACAATCAATCAGATAAATAACATAAGAAATAGCACAAGATATCAGAGCATAAATAATCAGAATGCAATAATTTGAAGTTGCCATGCAAAATAGAGGCAAGCAGGTTATCTTATTAATGAAAGATATTTAAAGCAACAAGAGGATAGAGTTTAGATATCTTCCTCTTCTAGTTGAGCTTCCTTTGCCTCAATTTCCTTCAGATCAGCATTGACCCTAGCTCTGATTGTAGCAAGATTCCTGGGATTCTGATATTCTGACCAGGCAGGTTCAAGCTGGCAATCTAGATAGTTTCTGATGGCTTCAGATAGGTCCTTGCCAGGGATCACTTTCAATCGCCACCAGTCTTCTGCTTCTTGCATAGACCCACCATGGTTAATTATTATTAGCCCATCTTCATCCAGAATGAGATTCTCTTGTTGAGTAGGGGTCATATGTTTCTTCATTTCTCTGAATTGAGCAGCATCAGGTGTAGCTAAGTCACTGTTAAGCCATTGAGCTAAAGTGAAGGTGGAGCCTGTCTTCTTTCCTTTCTTAGAGCGAGGAGGAGGAGTTGGTCTTTGAATACTAGCAGCAATCTGCTTCTGTCTGGTTCTCTCAAAGTATATAGCAGGATCAGGGGTACCAGAGATGTGAGTCAGAGCTCTGGCGCTTGATCCTTCTGCAGTTCTGATAGCTATTGCAGAATCTCTGGTATCTTCCCCCTTTTTGGCATCAGCAAGATCACCAAGGAGGAGTTCAATCTTTGAGAATTCGGTGGCCTGATTCTCCTTAATAACTTCAAGGGCACTCGGCAGAGTCTGAGTTACGGAGGCCAGACCTTCAATAAGCTCCTTCTGTTTATCTACAGCACTCTGAATATCTTTGGTAGTGGCTTCAAGGAGAGTCAGCTTGTGATCTCTGTCCTTTCCACTATTGATCAATTTGATTTCAAACTCTTTGTTGTCTTTGCACAATCCTTCAACATCTTGCAGAAGTTCTGTATTTTTGTCATGAGACCACTGAAGATCACTTACCGCATCAGAGATATTCTTAATAGCCTTGTCTTGCTCTTCAAGGGCCTTTGTGTGATGAAATAAAACGGCAGAGATTCCATCCACCTCCTTGGCAATGTTGCTCAGATTCTCTGTAGTTTTGTC